CAGGGGAGCAGCACAGCCGTGGCCCATGCGCTCAGGAGCTTGTGATCCAGTGGGGAGGAGGGCAGTACGCACAGGAAGATACAATCTGTGACAAGAGCTTTGAGGGATAACCTCTCATTTCTCCCATTTGAGGAACACGGAGGCTAACGTGTTTTAAAGGAAGAATGGCAGATTTTAACGTTTACAGGAACTGCTCCTCTGTCCAGGAGCCCCATTCTTCCAGATGGGCAGTTTCTGCCTCTTACTGTCTGGTTCTCTGAAAACGAAAGCAGCCGTTAAACCCATTTCCGGGCAGCTCTCTGCAGCTGGCCAGGGATATGGGGACAGGGCCACTGACTGACTGGGACCCTAGGGTTTTGGCCCAGAGGCCAAAAATGTTTATGGGAAACTTGGGAATGAGCCAAAGTTATTATCTTCGCCGCTGCTTCTCTTGTGCCCCTCCCCCGTCACACACTTGCACCTGGTGTCTTTTGACTGGAGCAGAGCTGTTTGTCCAGACCGTCTTCCGAATACACAGGCCAGATTAGAGTCCCCACCAGACCAGAGTGCCACCACCTTCTGCTGCGCCGTGCCGGCCACAGGCCACTCTTCCCTTGGCTCCAGTGTGCAGCCGGCAGACAGTCCCTTCCGTGGCACCAGGACACCCCCTGGGCTGTGCGGCAGTCTCTCAGGGAGGGGCCCCAAGAAGGCAGGCTCCGGGAGAGCAGCGTGGACTGGGAAGGGGGAGGAGCAGGGCCGAGCAGCTACGCACCATGCAGCAGTCCAAAGCCTCCACTTCCCGAATTCGCCTTCTGTGCTGCCCTCTCATAATTCAAGACATCGTAGCAGGTTGGGAAATGGCATCAAGACAGGAGAGTACTTTTTTTAACAAGAAGAGAAAGAGTGTGGAGCCAGCAAAACAAGCTTCCAGCAGACCCAGAACGATGGAGGTGCAGGGGGAACTTCACGTGGGCTGAGAGCACAAGAGAGGAAGTGCGGGCCGTGCCCAGGTCAGCAGTACAGCACCGAGGGGTTTTCAGCTGTAGAAAAGTAAGGGGCTGACATTATTTCTCTTTATCCTCAGCACTGATCAGACCCTGAGAACATGCTATGCTCAGTTTGTCCAGCTTATGATTGTGATTAGATAATCACGTTTCATGCCGAAAGGAACCTAAGAGATCATCCACATGACAGCTTAGGAAACCAAGTCCCAAGGAGTTGAATGACTTGACCAGGGACCAGCTGAGGTCCTTGTTTCCTGGTTGGATGTGTGGGTCTCTCTGCTACAGCACCCTCCACCCAAACGTGGGGATGGTTCCACAGAACTAGCTGTTCTCTAGTATTAACAGCCAGAGACGTAAAGGTTTTGAAAGCACGTTCAAGAAGCGACTATACCTTGTAACCTGAAGGCTATGGCGCTCATTTACGAACATGCACCCAGTGTGCAGGGTCCAGTGTGTGAGTAGTGTAAGGGTGTGGGTGCAGTGTAAGCGTGTGGGTGCAGTGTAAGGACATGCAGTGTAAGGGTGTGTGAGCAGTGTAAGGGTATGCGTTCAAGGTACAGGTGTGCGTGCACTGTAAGGTGTGTGCAGTGTAAGGGTGTGCATGCAGGGTAAGGGTGTGGGTGCAGTGTAAGGGTGTGTGTGCAGGGTATGGGTGTGCATGCAGGATACGCGTGTGCGTGCAGTGTAAACGTGTGTGTACATTGTATCAGTGTGCAAGCAGTGTATGGGTGTGTGTGCCGTGTAAGGGTGAGTTTGGAATTTGTCCCTGCTTGTTATGGAATCGACTCAGTGGCAACGGGTTTTGTTTTTTTTTAATTTTATTGTTGTACTTTAAGTGAAAGTTTACAATTCAAGTTAGTCTGTCATACAAAAATTTTTACATACATTGTTATGTGACCCTGATTGCTCTCCCTATACTGTGACAGCACACTCCTCCTTTCCACCTCTGATTTCCCGTGTCCGTTCAACCAGCTCCTGACCCTCTCTGCCTTCTCATCTCACCTCCAGATGGGAGCTGCCCATTTAGTCTCATCTATCTGCTTGAGCTAAGAAGCACACTCATCATGAGTATCATTTTATGTCCCATAGTCCAGTCTCATCTTTGAAGAGTTGGCCTTGGAATGGTTTTAGTTCTCGGTTGACAGAGAGTCCGGAGGCTGTGCTTTCTGGGGTTCTTCCAGTCTCAGTCAGACCATTAGGTCTGGTCTTTTTACTAGAATTTGAGTTCTGTGCCCCACCTTTCTCCTGCTCCATCAGGTACTCTCTGTTGTGTTCCTTGTCAGGGTGGTCTCTGGTGGTAGCCAGGCACCATCTAGTTCTTCTGGTCTCAGGCTGATGAAGTCTCTGGTTCATGTGGCCCTTTCTGTCTCTTGGGCTAATACTTTCCTTGTGTCCATGGTGTTCTTCATTCTCCTTTACTCCAGCTGGGTTGGGACCAATCGATGCATGTTAGATGGCAGCTTGTTAGCTTTTAAGACCCCAGGTGCCACTCAGCAAAGTAGGATTCAACAGCAATGGGTTTTGTTTTGTTGTTGTTATGTAATGTCCACCTGACCTGCCTCTCTCTGCTCCATCTCACGAGTAGTGCCTTCTCTACCTAGACTCCAGTAAAGTTTTGTGATTGTAACAGGAGCCAGTACATGTAAAGGGCTTAGGCACAAGTCTCTGCCTTTAGCAAGCATTCAGTAAGACTTAGCTGAGATTATTACTGTTTTAGTTATCTAGTGCTTCTGTAACAGAAATACTGGAAGTGGATGGCTTTAACACACAGAAATTTATTCTCTCACAGTCTAGGAGGCTTAAAGTCTGAGTTCAGGGTGCCAACTCCAGGGGAAGGCTTTCTCTCTCTGTTGGCTCTGGGAGAAGGTCCTTGTCATCAATCTTCCCCTGGTCTAGGAGTTTCTTGACACAGGGACCCTCGGTCCAAAGGGCATGGTCCACTCTCGGCTCTTCTTGGTTGGTGGTATGAGGTCCCTCTCCTCTCTGCTTGCTTCTCTCTTTTATATCTCAAGAGAGATTGACTCAAGATACAACCTAATCCTATAGATTGTGTCCTGCCTCATTAACATAACTGCCTCTAATCCTGCCTCATTAACATAGAGGTTAGGATTTACAACACATAGGAAAATCACATCAGATGACAAAATGGTGGACAAGCACACAGTACTGGGAATCATGGCCTAGCCAAGTTGACACACATTTTGGGGGACAAAATTCAATCTATAACAATTCTGTTATTATTTTGCAAAATATATACAAAACGCTTTCTTTCCAAGTGAGAGTCTGCAGCCGATTCTGAGCAGCTGAGCCTAGAACTGGAGGAAATGGTTTGGAGCAGGGCTTCTCACCCTTCATGTGGCTGAAAACCACCAAGCAACGCTTGGAATACAGGTTCTGAGTCATCTGGTCTCGGGTTGGGCCCACAGGTTGCATTCTGAAAAGCCCCCCGGTGAGCTAGTGCTGCCGCCCTGGGTCATATTTTGAGTGGCCAGGTTTTGGACGGTCCTACAAGACACAAAGTAAGGTAGGCTGGTAAGTGTTCTGTGGACTTTGTTGTGTACAAGATTGGATAATCACGGAAGCTTGTGGGAGTCCCATGTCAAAGAGGATTGCTTAGTTTTTAATAACAATTTTTTAGGATCTCTTTTAATACAGAGGAAACCCTGGTGGCGTAGTAATTAAGTGCTATGGCTGCTAACCAGAAGGTCGGCAGTTCAGATCCACAGGCGCTCCTTGGAAATTCTATGGGGCAGTTCTACTCTGTCCTATGGGGTCACCGTGAGTCAGAATCAACTCCATGGCAGCGGGTTTTAATACAGAAAAGAATAAAGGGGAAAAAATGCTCACCATCCTACCGCCCAGATAATGCAGGAGCAGGTGCCATAGCTAGAAAATGCAAACAACACAGAGGGCTCAAAGATGCGGGGCCCTGCCACCTCCTCCTCGGTCCTCCCCAGAGGAGTCCACCGTTAACATGGCCGGTATCAGCGCACACTCCCACACATCTGCCTGAGATTTCCAACGGGATCATCCTCACCTCTCTCTGGGCTGTGCTTTCTGACCTGACGATGTTTGCAGTAACTGCAGTCTGGAGTCTGCGGTGAGTGCTCACTGTAGGGCACATGAGGTCTGCGAGACAGCTGTTTCTTATGGAGCTTTCCAGAACCTCCCCTTCCTGTGCCGTTGTTGCTCTCGCACTATTTCAGTGGCTCTGCTCCACATTGCTGGCTTCAGGCCTCTCTGTACGTTTTGGAGATGTGTGCACAGACAGAAGGGGGGTGCTTGGTGAAGAGAGACTGTTGGGATAGGACCACACTTGGAATCAGAGTTCAGTATAAAGCCTTTGAAAAATAACTGTTCTCTCCCTAAGAGAAAAAAAGAGTAGGTAGTTTGAGATATTAAATCTGAAATATTTTAGTCTTTAATAACTTCACTTGATTAGAAGTCCATGGCATCCGTACGCGTGCCGATAACTTCTGTTTGTACTGTCTTCCTGCTGTGAGACATGAGCTCCCAAACCCCGCAGTGACCCAGGACGAGGGGTGGGCGGTGACCACCCTGTTCCACAGGTGACGACACTGAGGCCACACAGCTGACAAGTGGCGGAGCTGGGATTGGAATCCAGGTCTGTCTGATCCCCAAAATCGAGTCCTTCTCCTATGGGACATTTCTAGTTGTTGAAATTTTGGAAAAATATATTAGTGACAAGAGAAAGTATTCCAATTTCATTAAAGATTAAGTCCTCTCCTTGCTTCTGGGCTGCACACCTAATCAATGGAGTGATCAGATCTGCACAACCACAGGAAGCAGCTCGTTTTGCACTGTCATGGTAGGTACGCTGTTCACCGAAACCATCAGGCAGTCCTCGGATCCCGCTGCGTTTAAGACGCGTGTTTTCTGCCGCTCTTGCTATTGCTCATAGACATGGAGACCTCTGTGGTGATTTGGGGTGGGTGCTGAGGGGTCCCTGTTGGCTTCTGAATAACTGAGCTTTTATTGTTGTTCCTTTCCTCGTAGAGACTTGAAGCCTGAGAACATTCTCCTGGATGACCATGGTAAGTGAGAACGTACCTGCCGCATCTAAAGCAGACTGTTTTCTAGAGGGACTTGGACACACAAGGCTAGTGAGAGAGAGTGTATCTTCCACGTCTAAAGCAGACTCTTTGCTAGAGGGACTTGGAGACAGAAAGCTAATGTGGCTGTTGCCAGTTAATGCAAAATAGAAACAAAAAACACAGAAACTCTGGTGCGTGTTCTTTAAAAAACAAGCAATAGAGAGCATTGCCATTCCCATGTACTTAGGCGGAGGAGCCCTGGTGGTACAGTGGTTAAAGTGCTTGGCTGCTAACCAGAAGGTTGGGGTTCGAAGCCACCCGCTACTCCATGAGAGAAACGTGTGACAGTCTGCTCCTGTAAAGATTTACAGCCTTGGAAACCCTATGGGGCAGTTGTACTCTGGCCTGTAGGTTTGCTGTGAGTCAGAATTGACTCGCCGGCAGTGGGTTTGGTTTATGGGTTTTGTATTTAGGCAAGGATCAAGGATAGTCATGGTTTCCCGTTACTAATGGAGTTTCAGAAGGACATGAAACTCAAAGTGAGAGCAGTTTCTCTTCGGTTTCTTGTTAACCCACATCTCGCTTTCTACTCACGGCTTTGATCCAGCGCCCGACTGAACATCAGCCTGCTGCCTGCCTCTGGTGCCCTCCCCTTCCCACAGAACACATGTCACAGAGCCGGAGCGAAGACGGCACGTGGGCTGTGTGCGACTGGCATCTGGGGACCATGTGAGAACGGACGGGGCATGGCCCTTTGGGGCTGGTTCTTTGCCAGCACATGAGTGCCCACCCAGACCTTGATTTCTCTAGGGTGATAATTGCTCCAGAGAAACACGAGAACTGTTGTCAGGACTGCTGTAGCCAATTGTATTAACAAGAAATCACACGAGCAATAGTGGAAGGAAGTGATTTCTCTTGGCAGGCTAAGAAGGGTCTCACAGTCTAGTAAAGAGCCTAAGACAAGGCTAAAATGACTCAGAGGAGAAGAGGGTGGGGGTGATAAGGCAAAGAGAACTTTCCATCAATTGGTGAGAATCTCGATGGCAAACACAGGATACCTGTAATTTGTAGACTCCTTTCTACTTTTGTCAACTGCTTTCATGCTTGTTGTCTAGTTTGTGCATGAAAAACCTACCCTGTGAGGAAGGAAGATTCTGGAATTCTCATTTTATGGAAGTTTTAAAATCTGGGGAGTGACTTGCCCAAGGTTGTGTCCAGAGCTTCTAGCTGGTTCATCTGTGTGGAGCTGCTGATTAGAGGTGGCGCTCGAGGAGCCTACAGAGCGGGGAGGCACTGTGCGTAGAAGCACAGACTGATCTCCACGATGTCTTGTTAGCTGGAAAAAAGTGAGGTGCAGAACGGTGTGGATAGCATGTGAGCTTTTATGTAAAGTAAGAGGCAAAATAAGAAAGCATATGTGTATTTGCTTGTTTATACATAAACATAGAGGAGGAGTCATAAACTCAAGAGTGGAAGGGGGTGGAGGAGGCAGACTTTACATGGATAGCGATACCTGTTTATATATTTTTGATTTTTGAATCATGTGAATATATTACTTATTTTTAAAAAATTATTTATTTTTAAATGGACTCAGAGAACCCAGATATTTGTAGATCTTTCTCTGCATAGCTCCCTCTAGAAGTTTACCCTGCAGATTCCAGATGACTAATCTTCCCCACATTTTAACCTCTGTCTCCGCAATTTAGCAAGACCACCTTGCTCTGGCTAGGCTCCCTCCTTCCGGCCGCCATCTGCAAATCGCATCTAAGTAGGACGCCAGGGTGACTGGAGGGCTTGGCCTCATGTGTTTCCCTTCTCGGGAAGAATAGCCCTCGCTGCCTGTTGAACCACGTCAACAGTTGTGTTTTTAAATGCTTATGGTGGAAGGGCCAGTTTCGCGTCAGCTACTCCTCCTTGGCTAGAAGCAGAAGTCCTGGACGTTCTAAACGTTAGTGCCGTCGCATTGAAGAGCTGTGTTTCCATTGTTGTGTTTTTTGTGCTTTGCCTAAGAAATCTGTGCCTGCTCCTGTGTTACAACAGTGTTGTGTTTTCTTCTAAAAATGTTATTGTCTCATCTTCCCATTCATTCCTTGTCTTAGTCATCTAGTGCTGCTCTAACAGAAATACCACAAGTGGATGCTTTCACAAGGAGAAATTTATTTTCTCACAGTCTAGTAGGCTAGAAGTCCAAATTCAGGGTGTCAGCTCCAGGGGAAGGCTTTATCCCTCTGTCGGCTCTGGAGGAAGGTCCTCATCATCATCAGTCTTCCCCCAGACTAGCAGCTTCTCTGAGTAGGGATCTTGGGTCCAAAGGACGCGCTCTGCTCCCAGTGCTTCTTTCTTGATGGTATGAGGTCCCCCACTCTCCACTTGTTTCCCTTTCCTTTTATCTCTTACAAGAGATAAAAGGTGGTGCAGACCACACCCCAGGGAAACTCCCTTTACATTGGATCAGGGACGTGACCTGGGTTAGGGTGGTGTTACAATCCCATCCTAATCCTCTTTAATGTAAAATTACAATCACAAAATGGAGGACAACCACACAACACTGGGAATCATGGCCTAGCCAAACTGATACACACATGTTTGGGGGGGACACAATTCAATCCACGACACTCCTGTAATCCCATCTGGGATTTATCTTTATGTATGGTGTGAGGTTGAGGTTAAGGTACATTTTTTTTTAGTATATATAGCCAGTTGACCCAGCATCATTCATTGAAAAGACCTTCCGTCCTAATTTCCACCAGTCAGCCATTGCCTATGTTAAAAATAAAATTTCCACAAGATTAAATTTATGTATGAAACTCATAAGCTTTGTTTGCAATTCCTGAACTGGGGAACATCTGGTCTGGAAGTCAGACAAGAGCTCCGAAGAGCGGTATGAAGCAGAAGGGTTTTTCTGGGCACACAGAGGAATAAGGAAACTATACTGGGCAAATTTCAGATTGGCTAGTGGGCATTTTCTTTCCTTATTTGGAATCAAGGGGGAATTTTGAGCTAGGTGAAACTGAGCAGGCAAGTCCTGGTGGGCTAGCTTAGGTTTCCATTTCCGGGAGAGACAATTGATTGACTTAGGTTTCCACTCCTGGGAAGGTCAGGCACTTACAGGGAATAGAAACTAGCTAGGTTTCAGTTTGCTGACTTGGGGCTTAGCATAAGTGACTCCATCTTGAGCCCAGTATGGTCAGGTTAACAAATATAGTAAGTGTGACATGACTGCCTGTATAAATACTTCCTAATTTCCCTTCTAGAAAGGTAGATCTTGGCATTTGTGGTGGCAGTAGGTAAAAAAGCAGATTATCTAGGTCGTGAGGTGCATGTTATGACTTGTCCATCCTAAATATGCTAGCACTCATTTTGCAAAGTTATATATTAAGGGGGATTTGGTTCATAGATTCAGCTGGTGGTTGAGATAACAAAGAAAACTACATCATGCTTGTCTTTTCTGTAGAGGAGGCCTTGCTTTTCTGGAATAGATACATCCCTGAAAATAGGGATAAATAGTGAGTTTTTGTAAAAACCAGTAGTATGTTATTATTGACAGTTATTTTAAAGCAAAGTCTATATACATCACTTCATTTCATCCATGAAGTATCTCTCTGAAAGATAACGACACTCTTTTCTTTTAAACATAAAACAACTATAATTGCTTCCAAAAATATTTAATTTTTTAAAAATTTCTTAATATGGCCTAGTATCCTATCAGCTTTAAATTTTTCCCGATTATTTCATAAGTGTTTTTATAATTGTGTGTTGAATCAGGATTCAAAGAAGTCCACATTGCCTTTGGTTGGCATCTTGTCGAGTCTGTTTTCACTGTATGGGTCCCGTCTCCCCTCTTCTTTTTGTCATTTGTTTGGGAAGCCAGCTTCTTTGTCCTGTAGAGTTTCCCATATTCTGGACTTGCCTGGATTTCAGGTGTTCCCTATCCGCTGTTTTCTGTAAGCCAGTAGTTAGATCTAGAAGCTAGATAGGTCCCGATTTGATTTTTGGTAAGCTTCCTTCATATGAACTTCCTATTAAGTTACATCAGGAGGTACATGATGGCTGAGCGTCTCTCTCTTCATGGTGTTGAGATTGATCTGTGGTTTCAGATGTTGTCAGCTTGGGCCATTGTTATTCCCCTCATGTCGATGTTTCACTTAATGGTCAGTTATGGCCCTGGGGGTCATAAAATGAGGGTGTTCTAATGCCTTCCCTCCTTTTGCACTCATTTGTTGTTCCCTCCTCAACTATTCACTCAGGAAAATCAGGTGAAATGTTTGCATACTTTCCTTTATTTCTACTTTTCAGAATATTGTGTTGATTATTATCCTCTAAAGATGACCAAAACAACGTTTACCTGTGTTTTACTGACTATGCAAAGGCATTAGACTGTGTGGATCCTAACAAATTATGGATAACATTGCAGAGAATGGGAATTCCAGAACACTTAATAGTGCTCAGGAGGAACCTGTACACAGACCAAGAAGCAGTTGTTTGAACAGAACAAGGGGATATACTGCATGGTTTAAAGAGGAAGACCCTCAACGAGATGGATTGACACGGTGGCTGCAACAGTGGGCCCAAGCGTAACAATTGTGAGGATGGCACAGAACCGGGCAGTGTTTCGTTCTGTTGTATATAGGGTTGCCATGAATCGAAACTGATTCACGAGCACCTAACAACAACAACAGCTCACAGCTGCATCAGTGAAGGAGCCTCTGTAGGAAAGCTGAGGAAACTGAGACCGTTAATAAATGGCAGAGCTGGGACTCAGACCCAGGCCGGCTGCTCCAGAGGCTGTGCTCCTAAGCCCTCCCCTTGCCCGCCTCTCCCAGAGGGGATATGCAGCCAGGGAAGAGTGCTGTTTGTCGCTCTGAGTAAGGTAGTCAGAGGCCAGTGTCCCTGCCTAAAGCATGTTGTAAACTATTTTAAAACTATTTCAGTGCCTCGATGGGCATGTTGCGTATTGTTAGTATTCAGCAAACATTCTTGGTCGAATAGTTTCAGGGGATATCTAGGTCAATTGGCATATCAAAGTTTATTAAGAAAATGTTCTATATCCCACTTTGACTTGTGGTATCTGAGGTCTTAAAAGCTTGCGAGCAGCCATCTAAGATACATCAGTTGGTCCCATACCTCTTGGAGCAAAGGAGAATGAAGAAAACTAAAGACACAAGGAAAATACTAGCCCAAAGGACTAAAGGACCACATGAACCAGAGACTCCACCAGCCTGAGACCAGAAGAACTAGATGGTGCCCGGCTACCACCACTGACAGCCCTGACAGGGAACGCAACCGACAGTCTTTAACAGAGCCGGAGAAATATGTAGAACAGAACTCAAATTCATGTAAAAAGACCAGACTTCATGGTCTGACAGAGACTGGAGGAACCCCTGAAACTGTGGCCCCTGGATGCACTGTTAACCCAGAACCGAAACCATTCCCGAAGCCCAGTCATCAGACAAAGATTAGACAGGACGATAAAACAAAAAATAACACACGTGAGGAGCGTGCTTCTTAGCTCAGTCAGATTCACAAGACCAAATGGGCGGCTCCTGCCCAAAAGCAGGATAAGGAGGCAGGAAGGGACAGGAACTCATTGAATGGATGTAGAGAACCCGAGGTGGAAAGAGGGAGTGTGCTCTCACATTGTGGGGATTGCAACCAATGTCACAAAACAATATGTGTATAAAATTTTGTTTGAGAAATTAACTGAGCTGTAACTTTCACCTAAAGCACAATTTTAAAAAATTATTTATCTAGTCATTCATTTCTTTGATAGGTATTTATTAAGCATCTGCTGTGTGCTAAGAGCCCCTGGGTGGCACAAATGGCTAAGTGCCTGAAGTACTAACCAAAAGGTTGGCGGTTCAAACCCACCTAGAGGTGCCTCAGAAGAAAGGCCTGGCGACCTGCTTCTGAAAGATCACAGCCATGAAAACTCTATGGAGCAGTTCTACTGTGCACACACGGGGTCGCCGCGAATTGACTCAATGGCAACTGGTTACGTGCCAGGCATTTTAACGGAATCTTGGGGATACAGTGGCGAAGAAGTTGAACAGGGTGTCTGCCCTCAAGACTGGTTGAGCTTTCTATGCTCTCCAAAGAAGTTTCCTGTAATTTGTTATTCTCATAAATAAAGCATTGAACAAATATTTAAATCCTGTGATACGGAGGACGTCACACGCAACGTGTTTCTGCAGGTGGAATACATTGTGTGTATAATTCCATTTTGTTCTTTCCCTGAACTCTGTGGCCATTTGTTGTGTCATCTGCATAACGCAGGTTGTTAGTGAGTCTTCCTCCAATCCTGACACCCCGTTCTCCTTCATACGGTCCAGCTTCTCGGATTATTTGCTCAGGGTCCAGATTGAGTAAGTATGGTGAAAGGATACAACCCTGACGCACACCTTTCCTGACTTTAAACCATGTAGTATCCCCTTGTTCTGTTCGAACCACTGCCTTTTGGTCTAAGTACAGATTCCTCATGAGCACAGTAAAGGGTTCTGGAATTCCCATTCTTCACAATGTTATCCATAATTTGTTAATGATCCACACAGCTGAATGCCTTTGCATAGTCAATGGCCAGGCATAAATCTAATTTACTGCTCTTAGTGAAACAATGCACTGTATAGTATTTTGCTAAAGGTGGAAAAGTTCACTGAAATTTTCCCTTTAAATGTTTCAGAGTATGAAATGGTGTTATTTCCATCCGTGGTTTTTAAGACGATTTTTTGTCCCGTTTTTTATTGTTGGTAAAGTTTCAGTACTTCCCACTCTGATTTGTGCTAATGTGTTTGAACATACACAGGACATATCCGGATTTCAGATCTTGGTTTAGCTGTGGAGATCCCAGAAGGGCAGATGATCCGAGGAAGAGTTGGAACGGTCGGTTACATGGGTACGTGAGAGGTCACGTCAGCCATCTTTATACTTTCTGTCTGCCTGAGTGCTCAGCATAGCAAGACGTTAAAACGCACGTACCTGCCGGCTCTGACACACGCGTCTGCTACGAGACAGTACAAATGGTGTTTGGAAGCCTTCGACGCTGCCTCATCCACCCTCCCGTTTCTACAGAGGGAGGGGAAGGCGGCCCCCAGGTCTCCAGGTGCAGCTCACTGGAGGACAGTCAGAACAGGATGGCAGGTCCCCTCCCTCTGCACGCTGGCCTCTCAGACTCCCGCGTGGACTCGGGATATTATCATACCTGGTTATGGTGGAGCATCTGTGAAGCTGGAGGCTCTGGCTTGGGTCAGCTCCAGAGCAGTCATCTCCCCACTCCTGGGCCCTGCATTGCCTGCTGTGGAGATCGGGCCTCTGTAAGAAGTACCAGGCAGTACCTGCCCGACCCAGGAGTGGCCTCCAACATGGGGAACTGAGGGCCGCTGCAGAGCCCTGCAGTGAGACCCCACGCCTGCTGTCTCTGCTGTCTCCTGCTTTGGGGATTTTTGTCTGACTGGGGAATAGATGGCCAGTGCACTGGGGAGCAGCGTGGAGGGGATACCCTTCTCAGGAGACAGGTCTTACCTCTAGCACCACTTCCGCCATGTTAGCATAACCTGTAGCAAGGAACTTCGTCCTCTCTAAATGAGTGCCCTGAGGGGCAGCACACTGCTTGGGCCACTGCGGCTGAGGGCCTGAGCTGTTCTTCCGTAGTAACAGCTTTACAGAGATAATTCACGTTATAAAATGCTTCCTTTTCAAGTGCCCAACTCAGTAGTTTTTAGTATATTCATACAGCTGTGCCGCCATCAGCACGGTCTAACTGCAGAAGATTCCATCACCCCGGAGAGAAACCCTGTCCCCATGAACAGTCACTCCCATCCCCTGCCCGCCCCCAGCCCTAGGAGGCCATGAATCTACTTTCTGCTTCTCTGGATTGCCCCAGCGGAACATTTCATATAAATGGAACCACCCCACATGAGGCCATTGGTGTCGGGCTTCTGTCACTCAGTATGCGGTTTCCAAGGGTCATCCATGTTGTCACAGAAACTGAATTGCTAATGTGTTATTTGGAATTAATTACAAGAGAATTTAAAGCCATAATTTAATCTCATTTCCTGTGTTTGTTACGTAGCTCCAGAAGTTATCGATAATGAAAACTATACGTTTAGTCCTGACTGGTGGGGACTTGGCTGCCTGATATATGAAATGATTCAGGGACATTCTCCATTCAGAAAATTCAAAGAGAGAGTCAAACGGGAGGAGGTCGACCGAAGAGTGAAGAAGGACGATGAGGAGTATTCCGAGAAGTTCTCCGAGGACGCCAAATCCATCTGCAAGATGGTGGGTCAGGTTCTACCGCGGTTGGGAAATTCAACCCCTAACTCATACTAGTCGTTTTCACTGGCAAGTTAACGGTTGTGAGCCTGCCGGGCCTTCAGCGCAGCTCTGGAGTAGCTAGTGCATCTGGGGCAGTGAGGAGAACGAGCTCCGTGGGGCTCACCTAGACGCCATGATGAACCCCGCTCTCGCTCCCCGCGCTGATGCTCATCACCTTTATCTCAGGGCAGTAGGAAACCGACTTAATGGGCTTCCTGATCCATTAGAGCAGAGCTGAGTGAAGCTCACTGTTTTCTTCCTCAAGAGATGCTCCGGAAGGGGAAGAGTGCCGTCGAGGTTATTACCTTCTTTCAGAAGACAGCTGAGCCTTGCTTCTTTGGCTCACTTTATATGAAGTTAAACACAAAACAGAACATTTAATGTATTTTTGAAATAGTAACGTTTATCTCTCTCCTCACTTCGATTTTGTTTATTTGTTTGTTTTCTCTGCTTCTTTCTCTTTAACCGACTGCCAGGGATTGTCGTCATGTGTCGTTGCGGTGAGTCGCCGTCAAGTTGGCTCCGACTCACGGCGACTTTATGAACAAAGAGCAGAACGCTGCCCAGTCCCGGGCCATCTTCATGATGGTTGGTATGTGTGGGTCCACTGTTGCGGCTGTTGTACCAGCCCATCTCACGGAGGGTCTCCCTTGTTTTTGTTGACCTTCTCCTTTTCCAAACAGGACGTCATTCTGTAGCAATTGGTCCGTCCTGATGACGTGTCCAAAGCAAGTGAGATGCAGTCTCACCATCCACACTTCTAAGGAGCATTCTGGTTGTAGTTCTGCTCAGACTGATTTGTTCGTTCTTCTTCTCTATATATTCACTGTCGTTCCCCAACGCCGCAATTCAAAGGCATCAATTCTTCAGTCTTCCTTTTTCACTGTCCAGCTTTCGCATGCGTGTGAGACGATTGAAAAGACCATGGCCTGGGTCAGGCGCACCTTAGTCCTCAAAGTGACATCTTTGCTGTTTAGAACTTTGAAGAGGTCTTCTGCAGCAGATTCGCATAATAGACACCTCGAATTGAAGGCCTGTGGTGCGCCAGGCCCTGCGCTAGGAGCTCTACAGACACGTTTCTTCATTTTGTTAAGAGCCCTATGAACTGGACATTATTACCCCGGTGTCACAGTGAGGAGTCGGGGGCCCGAGAGTGAGACGCGTGGCCATGATCGGAGGAGGAGTAAGGAATGGCCACGTTTGCGCCCAGATCCATCTGACCGCAGGCAGCGTTCTTACTACCCCTGGCTGCCCAGACAGTAAATGAATGAGAGAAGCTCTCTTTATCACTTCACTGTCTTAGATCAATAGTGATTATTTTTTGAGCACGTTGATTTATTTATTTTCACTCAACAAAGATTTATTGAGCATCTTCTGTGGGTGGCAGAGACAGTACATGTGGAAGGGGAGGAAATGTGTGGACATCAGGTGGGGCACCTGCTCTGGAGGACTGTAAAGCTTGGGGGGAGGCGTCGGGACTGGGGGTCGCGATTCCGAATAGTGGCAGGATCTGCAGGAAGTGAGGGCGCGAGCCTCCTAGGCGGAGGGTCCCGAGGGGCAGCGCGCCAGGTGGGCCGTGGTGGCTGGGTGGCTGAGTGCGGGGACATGTGCAGGGCAGGGCAGCGGTGGAAGTGTGACGTCCGGAGAAGGGGTGGGGTGGGAGGAGGGAGAGCGGCCGGGGGCCTCGCGCGGACTCAGTCGTGGCTCGTGTGTCGCAGCAGCAGAGGATCTGGTGAGCCGTGCTCGGATCCTGGTGTCTCCTGAGGCAGAGTCCTCGGTGTTTGCTGCTGTGGCGGATGTGGTAGGAGAGGATCCCAGGGGGACGCCAAGCCTGAGCTCGGGAGCAGACCCCTGGCTGCAAAGGGGAGCGCTGCTGGAGAGAAGTTGTGTGTCGGGTGAGAGGATGGCACCCAGAGCACGAGGGGAGGGTGTGGACGGGAGAAACCAGGGCCTCCAGGCCAGCTAGCGAGATGTGGAGCCGGAGCGGTGGGCGTTCCCCTGGGGCCCCGTGTGCGCAGTCGGCAGCTGGCCAGGAGGGAAGGAGGGCTGGGGGGAGAGGCGGTGGGAGGGGGAGGCTGAGGGGAGGCCGAGGGCCCGGGGGAGGAGGGGATCCCTCAGCAGCACTGGGCCCCTGAGGACAGAGGACATGGATCTCCAGCTAGTCCAGTGGGGCTTGGCGCTCACAGGGAGCTGCCTGCGCCCGTGCTGTGGTTTAGTTGGGCACGCATGATGAAGTGGGAGACAGGCAAGGGGGTGGGTGCATGCAAAGGGGGGATTAAGACATGGACCCTGGGATCTCGTCTGGCTCCCGAGGAAAGTAGGAGCGCCAAAGGGCGGTCATAGACAGGGTGACCCTAGATCTCCTGGCCCAGAGTCCCTTGGCCGGAGCTGCCGAGACTGGAGGCGGGCACAGAGCTGATGGAGGGGTGCATCACTGGTCACGAAGCGTCTAAGGTGCAAGTGAGGGAGAGGGTGTCTGATGGGGCAGAGGACAAGGACGCTGGAGGAGAGGAGGCCACGAACCCAGAGGCCGGGCCTGGGTCAGCTCTGTGGATCTGGAAACCACCAGGAATCACACCCGTTAGTAAGTGTATCGGTAACTGGTGTGAGTTGCAGGTGGCCGGAGAAGAATTATTTGGGTCTTTCCCTTTGACTGGTTTCAGTAGAAGAAGGAGTGTGTGTTACAGGCTTGTCACCGAGCATTAGCTCAGCTGTCCTTCCAGCGTCTGCTCTGAGTTGACCGTCTTTAGTCAGCTACTCCGTAGTAAATGACATTCTGGCAAAGCTACTATTTATTTCTGTTTGATAAACATGTACTGAGTTCTTGCCACACGCTAGCCTGGCAGGAATGTAAGGATATAAATTAGGAACCACCCCGCCCCTAAGGAGCCTGCAGGTGGACGGGAGGCCGACAGCAGACATGAACTGCGGTGAAGAGGCAAGCGTGGCAGGTGCCACATGCAGGAGAGACACAGATCACCAGGGTTTTCATGACAAAGAAATCCTGGCCCGTTGGGGGCGCTGGGAAGGGAGGCGGCGTCTGAGTGACAGGCCTCATGTAGTTGGGATTGGAGCAGCGGCCTTGAAGTCAAGGCCGGGCTGAGTCTCAGCTCCCGGTCATAGCTGCTCTGGCCTCAGGTTTCCCACCTGTGAAATGCAGGTGATAGTAATTCCTTCCTTACAGCGTTGTTGGGAGGAGACAGTGAGCTCAAGCACGCGCAGTAACACAGTAAATCCTCAATGATTGTTGAGAGGGGAAACAACGAGCTCTTAAAGAATAGGCTAAATTCCGGCAAACAGGGATTGGAAGGGTGGGCATTCAACACGCAGCGTTGTCTGCACAAGAGAGGAGAGACTGTGGAGCGGCTGCAGGCGGGGATGGGGTTCAGCTGAGGTGCCGAAATTTAGGGAAGTGATTCTCTGTGCCTGGCTTACCTGCCTGGGCCTGGGCCTGCAGCGCACCTGTCCTGGTCCTCCATGCACGTCCTCTGACGGGAGGCGCGCAGCTGGCCATGAGGCTGGAGGGTCACCACCTGTCCTGGTCCTCCGTGCACATCCCTGGCCGGGAGGCGGGCAGCCTGACGTGGGGATGGAGGGTCACCACCTGTCCTGGTCCTCCATGCACATCCCTGGCCGGGAGGGGAGCAGCCTGATGTGGGCCTGGAGGGTTAGACTCATGTAGAATGGAGAGGAGAGTGAGGGAAAGGGGACACTTAGTCTGCCTGTTAGAGTAGTGCAGGCGGGAGGGGGCAGCAACACCTGACGTGTGAACGGATACCTTTTTATAATCTTCAAAGCTCCATGACGTGTTATCTGATGTCCTCCAGTGGGTTCCTAGTGTGGTTTCCATGACGTCGTGGCGGCCAGGGAAGCTGAGCCCAGGCTCGTTACCACAGGTCCTGGGCTCCTTCCGCTGCCATTCAGGGCCTTCTGCAGGTGAGCGAGCGAGTGTTGGCAGCGGGCTTGATAACTGAGTCGTGGCATCCTCTGTGACCTAGGAACTGTGTTTGATGTCAGGCTTATTTTCGGATCTGTTTGAATTAGCAAAGCGTGCAGAGAACACACCCATTGGAACAGCACCGTTGAGCACCAGCTGGCGGGGGCGGGCACACTGCAGTGAGAGAGGCACACTGGCCCCGCCATCGGGAGCCGAGCAGGAGACTGGCAGTCAGCTGTTCCCCGCTGGGCCTGTCCACGCGGGTGGTGACGCAAGTCACAGGGGATGCCCGGCCGCCCTGAGGCTGGAGTCCTGCAGGAGCAGAGCCAGACCCAGGGCAGGCCAGGAAGCTGGCACTTGAACAGTTTAGTGGGACTTGGCTAGACAGAGAGCAAAGTGTGGGTGGAGATGGTGGGCGACACAGCATGGCAGGTTTAAGGGTGCGAAAGAAGGGGGTCTGTGTCTCGGGAGCAGTGAGGGCGGGGGTGGGGCGGGGAGTGTGTGGCTGAGCTGGGACCCGGAGGTGTCTGGGACGTTGATTTATGGTCAGAAAGGGAGTGGGTGCTGGACCTTAGTCAGGGGCCAGACAGTAACTCTTTAAGGCCCAGAGTGTCTCTATCCCTGCAGGGCAAAACCAGCTGTAGGCACCACGCAAGCCAGCAAGCGTGGCGTGTTCTCGTAAAACTTTATCTTGGTAACAACCCAGAAGCTCCCGACCCAGGGTCAGCCACATAGTCAGGACACCAGAGAAGGACTGCTAACCAGCGATGGGGACATACTGTTTATTCAGGGCACTTACGTGCAGGACAGTCCAGGGCGGTGGCTGGACAGAGCAGTGCTTCACTGCCGCCTAGCAGGGGACACAAGCTCATATACAGCTCCGGCCGGGGCTGAGGCTTGTTGTTTTCCCTCCCAGTCCTTGGGCGGCCAGCGCTCCCAAGGCCTACCCATCCAGGCTCAGATGGTTTTCCTTTTGTCGATAAGACGTTCCTCAGCCTTGGCCGCCAGCCCAGTCATGCCACCCCCGGCCTTGTACCTTAGCCCGAGTTCGTCCCCAGCAGGCTTCTGGGGAGAGCGAAGCTGCCAGCGTTAGGAGGGGGCACATATAGCTGAATAGCGTCACCCTACACTCCATTAACCGAACAGGTATCTGGTGGGGTAATGGGCGGGACGCTTTCCCAGCCCCTGGCCTGGGCTGACTTTTCGAGGTCCAGATCTTGAATGACAGGAGCCCTGGTGGCACAGCGGGCTGCTAACCAAAAGGTCGGCAGTTCGAACCCACCAGCCACTCTGCAGGAGAAAGGTGGCAGCCTGCTTCCTTAAAAATTTCCAGCCTTGGAAGCCTTGTGGGCCAGCTCTGCTCTGTCCTATAGGGTCCCTGTGAGTCAGAATCGACTCGACGGCAGTAGGTTTGGGTGTTTGGTTTGGCTCTTTAATGCATTGTCTTTGAGCACAGCCAGACCTTTCCGACTGATAATAATTGTGTAGAAGGACCTACTTAAATTGGTGACAGCTGTAAATAGTATATAAGGAACACTTTTTCTTTTAATTGTGGTGAAAATATACGCACCAAAACATTCACCAACACAACGGCTTACAAGGAATACTTTCGAAACAGACACTTTCTGTTGAAGAGTATATAGTTCCTAGAAGCAGATTTGGTGAACGTTTGCTTCATCTCAGTCCTTAGTGACCTGTTTAATGAAGAGATTAAAACAGTTTCTAATTATAAACATTACAGTGGAAACTCTGACACGCTCAGCAGCTTCTACTTCCTTAAAAAAATTCCCCCAATTTTTGCACGATTAAAATTTTTCCCTTAAGGATTTGCTTAGCAAACTCTTTATTTGTGCAGAAGAAGGGGGTCTGTGTCTCGGGAGCAGTGAGGGCAGGCGGGTGGGGCCGGGAGTGTGTGGCTGAGCTGGGACCAGGAGGTGTCTGGGACGTTGATTTATATTCAGAAAGGGAGTGGGTGCTGGACCTTAGGGGCCAGACAGTAACTCTTTAAGGCCCAGAGTGTCTCTATCCCCGCAGGTCAAAATCAGCTGTAGGCACCACGCAAAGCCAGCTCAAGGGCAAAACTTTAGCCCAGCTCCTATCACATATTCTAAATGAGTAAAATCTGAATGAATGAGGCTTTGCTGAAAATGGAGTGTCCATCTGTTTAGACAAAGGTGCTCTCCGCTGCCTCTAACTCTCCGGTTGGGATTACGAACATTTTCTGAGTCTGTGCTTCTCTCCGTCTGTCTCTTCCACAGTTACTCACCAAGAACCCCAGGGAGCGGTTGGGCTGCACGGGGGGCGGAGCGGCTGACGTCAAGCAGCACCCCGTGTTCAAGGACATTAACTTCAAGAGGCTGGAAGCACATGTGCTGGATCCCCCTTTCTGTCCTGACGTAAGTCGGTAGCCACGTGCACAGCCGGGTGGCCAAACACTGACCCACCGGACAAGTCCGTTGTTTAGAGCAGGTATAGACTCCCCCGGGACAGCCAGCTGTGGCTGCAGCCGCGTGTGGCTTCTGTTCCCTGCTGCCCCACACCTGGTCCTTCCTCCGCCAGCTGCTCCCGCGTCCTCCCCACTCAGCGGACCCATCACAGGCCTTCCTGGAAGGGCTCCCGGCCCGGGACTGCTTGGGTCTGCAGCCCTGCCGGCATTGCTGGGGGACACTGGGGCCGAGCTGCGTCACAGGCCTCCTCAGAAACGCCAGCACCGCCTGACACCCTCCCTGCCAGGCCGTGTCTTCCTCCCTGTTCCCCTTGCCAGTGTCACCTCTCGGCCCTTGGGTCCCAGCCACACCAGGGTGGGGGTTCCCAGAGTAGGCCACCTGCATTCACGTCCTCATCCCCTGGCCCTGCAGCCTGCTGCCGTCTCAGATGCGCTTCTCCCACCCCACGTTTTATGAGATCAGGGGCTGTTGCTGGCGTCACCACCGAGGACCCGGGGGCAGCCACTAGACTTCTCTGAGATGGAACCCCCCTGTCCAGCGGGGGTGCCAGCTCTGCCTCCTTCATGAGCTCACTTTTGGAGTCAACCGGGGCCGTGTCTCTAAGCGCGCATCCCGGAGCCTGGCACTGTGGAGATGCTGGTAGACGGTGGTTTTGTTGATGGAAGGATAAAGGGATGAGAGGAGCAGTTTGGACTCAGCAGTCTGCCACAGAGGGGTTCTAGAAAGCGAAGATCAGAGAGTAACCGCGGTACAATGGAGTTAAGATATGCAATTAAAATAGCTTTAGCTTTCAGACCTTTTTCTGTTTCCTTGGCCGTCATAGGATATGTCCTGGCGGTAACTCTACAGTTGCATTAGTGAATTCATTGCATATTCATGAGTGCCTGCTACCTGCCAGACTCAAGTCTAGGGTTTAGGGTCACAGCAGAGGAGGAGAAGGCAAGCAAGGGCACTGCTCCCCTGGGGCTTGTTGACGTCTGCAGAGAGGGCAGTAAAACAAACAGCCCAACAGACAAGCTGAGGGCAGAGCCGACAGTCAGGGGACGTGCAGTGGGCGGTACGGGGGCAGGTGCGCCAGGCAGAGGCTCGGGCAGTTTCTGTGTGGCCTGCTTAATTTGAGAAACTGTGGAGCGGGTTCGCAGGAGGGTCTAATGGTAACTCATGGGTGGTTTTGTTGGAGGGTGAGGACTGCGCTGGTGTGCGGGGCAGCCGGGGCTTCTGAGCCTGCAGTCACGGGTGGGGGTGGGAGGCCCTGAGGGACTAAGTGCCTCTCGGGGGCGGAGGCTGCAGACCGCTTCCATTTCCCTCCTTCCTGGCGCGGGCGGGCTCCTGTCCACGGTGAGTGAGTGATGGAGCGATGGTGGCTTCTTATGAATAACAATTGCGTGAAGAGAAGTTCAGACTGGTGACCTGCAGGATGTTGTGGCTTCGATGACACCACTCACTGTAGTGGCGTCCTGGTCCAGGCCTGTTGGGGGGACGTGTTCCAGCCAGCCTCACGCTGCAGCGTCCTGGGCGCTGTGGCCCTCAGCCCAGGAGCGTGGCAGCTGCGCTACGGGAGGCGGCCTCACCTGTGCTTTCTGCCTGCCTGCTGGTGACACCTGCAGGGCCAGGCTCCTGTCCCCGAGTCCCTGCATCCAACGCCCGAGGTCATCAGATGAGCCCTGGTGGGGAGCACGGGCAGCAGGCCCTCCTCTCCTCACACAGACTGTCGCAGGTGTGCACGTGAGGGCTGCTGGGGCCGGAGGCGGCAGAGCCGTCTAGGTGGGTCCCACAGCCAGCGGGCTCCATCCTTCCCCCAGTGCTCTGTCCTCGTCCTGCCCTCCTTCACCGCCGCCGCCCCCCCAATCTGTAATTCGGAGAAAGGGTGGCCCTCAGGAGTGCTTGTGAGAGGGCGGGATGAGCTGGGCCGATTCTCAGTGCCCTTCACCCCTGGGACTGAGGATGGCCTGACTCTGACCATCTCACGGCGGGTGACTCTCCTTGTGCCCAGCCACACGCCGTGTACTGCAAGGACGTCTTGGATATCCATCCGTTCTCCACGGTGAAGGGAGTGCACCTGGACAGCACAGATGAGGAGTTCTACGCCACCTTCGTCACAGGCTGTGTCTCTATCCCCTGGCAGAACGAGGTACTGCCTTTGCAGCCCGCAGGGTTTACGGTCCTGACAGCGCCAGAAGGACAATTATGTGCCTATCCGGGGGTCTTTCATAGTGTCCTTTTTGAAATGCCTTTTTAGCTGTTCTGTGTGTATGTGTTTATTAAAGTATATGTGTATCTATTTTAACCCGTTGTCGTCGATTCCGACTCAGCGAACCTATAGGACAGAGTAGCACTGCCCCAGAGGATTTCCAAGGAGCGGCTGGTGGATTCAAACTGCCGACCATTTGGTTAGCAGCCAAGCTCTTAACCTCTGCACCACCAGGGCTCTGTATCTATTTTGGGGGTAGAATTATGAAAAATGTCTGGCCACAGGAGTGAACCATACATAGGCCAGGCCCAAGCATGGATGCTGCCTCTGGTCCCGCTTACAGAGAATGGACAGAGATGCCATCTTGGGTCTGATGGGGCTGGCCTGCCACCCCGAGTCTCACTCCCTAGGCAGGGCTGGCTGGCAGTAGTTAACTGCTTTGGGGGTATACTTGGATAGAGGAAGAGGCCACATTAGTTACCCCAAGAAGAAGTCAAGAAGCAGGGAACATAGGAACGTAGGAAGGGGGACCCAGAGTGGGTCCAGTGCCCTTGGCATGATTAGTGTTGAGCAAGGGTGTAGGCGGGGGTCGCGGGGTCCCTGGCTCACATGTGTCTCCCCACACCCCTCTTGTCCGCTCTTCTGTGTGTGCAGATCATCGAATCCAAATGTTTTGAGGACCTCAGTGAAAGTGGAGATGAGGAAGACTTTTCACTTGATCTAGAAGAGACATTATGTCCCCCCATTCAAAAACCAAAGAGGGGCTTCTTGTACCGGCTCCTCAAGAGAATGGTAAACAACTTCTTGTGATTTTTTTTTTTTTTTTTGGTTGTTCTTGAGAAAATACCCAGCAAAACATACACCAAGTCAACAATTTCTACATGTACCGTTTCGTGACACTGATTACATTCTTCAAGATGTGCAGCCATTCTCGCCCTCCTCTTCTGAGTTGTTCCTCCGCCATTAACATAAACTCACTGCCCCCTAAGGTTCCTATCTAATCTTTCGAGTTGCTGTTGTCACTTTGATCCCGTATAAAAAAAACAAAAAAACCAAACCCATTGCCATGGAGTTGCTTCCGACTCATAGCAACCCTGTGAGTCACTGTGAGTATGATCCCATATAGATAGTTCTTAAAAGAGCATAATGCTCAAGCAGACTTGTTTTACTAGTTAAAAACTAAATTATTGTTCCATTTTAAGATGACTTCAAGGGATATTTTTGGTTTAAGGCTTAAAGATTATCTCAGGGCGATAGTTTCAGGAGTTCATCCAACCTTCATGGCTCCACAGAGTCTGGAGTCCATGAAAATTTGAAATTCTGTTCTGCATTTCCCCCCCTTTTGATCAGGAAACCTCTATAGAATCTTTGATCAAAATGTTCAGCAATGGTAGCCAGGCACCATCCAGTTCTTCTGGTCTCATAGCAAAGGAGGCAGTTGTTCACAGAAGCAATTAGCCACACGTTCCATATCCTCCTCCTATTCCTGTTGCTCCTTCTTCCTTTGCTGTTCCTGGTGAATACAGACCAACTGTTGTGCCTTGGCTGGCCACTTGCAAGCTTTGAAGACCCCGGGCACTATACAACGAACTAGGAGGTAGAACAGAGGCACTAAACACATTATTAAGCCAATTAACTGGGATGTCCCATGAAACCAAGACCCTAAACTTCCAAACCAAGAAACCAAATCCTATGAGGCATTTGTTGTACACAAGCAGCCTCAGCAGCTCCTCTTTTTTGTTGTTGTTATAAATATATCACACATCTTCCGCCAATTCAACTTTTTACAGGTGTACAACTTATTGATTGTGATTTTTTTAAATGGAATATGTTAATAGGAAAAAAAAATTGCCAAGGTAAAAACAGTACTTTTCTTTTATCAATGCCTCTTACATAAGAAATGTCACATAGCTGAAGAGCCATGTGGTGCTATTTAGAGCCAACCAAGAGTGTCCTCACAGCTGTGTTTGTTGTTGGCGTGAAGACTCTGTTCTAATCCAAGAAGAAGTTGTGGTTTCCGGCACTGGAAGTGGGACCTGATGTCGGTGACAAAGCATTCGAAGCTAAGACCAGAGATCAGTGTCCTGCAGGACAGTTAGAAAACAGTACACGTTATTTAAAGCTCTCCGGTACATGTGGTTTTGTAGCTCTCATCTCATTAGCCTCCTTCACAAGGCAAGTTGACACCCTTTTGAAAATGGCAGGAGAGTTGGGAGGGGCTTTCTTTAGCAGCATTATATTTAGAAATTATTTTTTCCAAGTGAACCTTGTCTCCTTGGCTGAGTGATTATCCTACTTTCCCTGTCTGCCCTTGAGGAACCCGTGCTGAGGCTGTCTGCTAATACTCGGATCCATCTGTTTTCAGTGTGAAAAGCACACCTGAGACAGTAAAAGTCTCCCAAAGCATGTTCACCGTGATCACCTGAGAACCAGGGCTGTGTGAGCGACCTCATCACCCTCACGAGCAGCCTGCCTCTCAGTGCTCACCGTGTCCGACTCGGGGACTCTCCTCACACGGCCACGGCCCCATGTCCACGCTGTCAGGCGGAGCCCTTCCGGGGAATCCGCAGTAGATCAAATGCCAGTTGCTCGTAGTGAAGCAGTGCTTCCTCCATGAGCCTTGTTGCCGGTTGGCCTGTCCGTGCTCAACTACAGATGGCGCAAATCTGAGGAAGCCCGCAGCGCTAGATGCGAGAGGCAAGACGTAGCTGAGACATTTTGTATGTATGTGAACTAAGTATCCTCCATATCTTAAAGTAAATAAGAACATGTTTAAGACTTTTACTTGACTTAAAATTAGCGTCCCTTAAACGTTTTATAACTGTGTGTACACCTCAAGGAGTTAGCCCGGCTTGCATCAATAATGTAACGTGGCCTCCATTCTGCCGTATGTTGCAGGGCTGTCTCAGCTCCAGCCCCAGCGAGAAGGAAGAGGAGGCGAGGAGACTCTGAGCCATTCACTGTTCGGACCTGGCGGGACCAGACCTCGGCGCCAAGCAGGAGCACGTGTTCGCTACGAGTTGTAATAAACGCATACGGCACATTTAAAACCTGCCTTGTGAGTTTACAGATTTTCCTCCGCTAATACCCGAGTTGTCTTTCCACTACAGCTGTATTGAAAAAAAGCCACCCACATCCCACTGTGCCACCCAGAGGCTCCCAGGCGTGGACCCTGTGCTGGGCTCTACCTCCAGGTGAGCCCGCGGGGAGGGAAGTGGGCTTGGCCTACAGCGTTCCCCAAGGTACGTTTGGAAGGAATGACCAGGCCAGCATCGGCCCAGCAGTGTCTGGCGCAAGTGGCACTGCCCTCACATCCAGCCCTCTCGGAACGTGGCTGCCCTGGCCGGAGGGATGCAGTCCTGCCTCCTTTTCCATGGGGCCATGGTGGTTTCCAAGTCTTTGCTCGCTTACTTTCACACTGTGTCCCCAGAGACAAGCATGATGTCGACCTTGCCTCGCTCACCACCATCTCTACCTTCCTGAGGTCCATGTCCTGGTAGCCAGTTCTAGACTTTCACTCCGGCATACCTACCTGTGCTCTGAGAGAGGGTGACTTTCCGTGACCCTGAATCTCATTCCAAACCCTCAAAAGCCGTGCAGGATAACAGAGAGCACACAAAGCAACCCGCAACCCGCTTACAGCATGAGGAGGAGACAGCGAATACTGCAAACTTCAGCTTACTGTAAGCCAGCCCTGGAGCAGGGGTTGTGGGCAGAGAGGGGCTCGCAGGGGCCTCACAGTGATCGGCTTACTGTAAGGCAGCCCGGGAGCAGAGGGCGTGAGGTGGGGAAGGGGTTCACATGGCTTCACGGTGACACATACAACATCCTCTTGTTATATAACATCCAACCCCTCAGACACAGAGGGTCCAGCCCAGGTGAGGTACACCTGGTGGGTCACCGCCAAGGACAACTGGGGAACTGAAATGGGCTCAGAAGGTATGTGGCAAGAGGTGGCCATCTTGTGAAAGCACCACCTTCAGGGGAGAGGGAGGCAGCTTGGAGGTGAGAAGTGGCTAATGTTAAGGGTCCCCAGAGACAAGACAGCATTACAGAATCAGAAGACACACCACCTCCTTCTTGAAAGATCCTTTCTAGAAGAGCTACACGTTCCTGTGTCAGCAGAAGTGGCTTGTCTTGAACCAAAAAACCAAAAAGCCACCCAAAACCATCACCACCATGGCGCACCATAAAATTACCTCCATTGCCGGTCCAGGAAGGTCCTGCACACGGCTTTACTGTGAACAGAAAAAGGCGCCTGACGTCGTTGCAAAGTGACAGAAAAAGAAAACAAAGCGCAAATAAAACCTTTCAGCCAATGAAAATGCCCCTTGAAAAGCCCAATCGTGAACCTGAGGAAGATTAATCCACCACTTCAGTATGAACTAAACAACATTAAACCTGGACCGTCCACACCCGGGTACCACACTTACAGAGCGCCACTCGGGACTCTGCTGTGCTCCCCTCCCGCACACAAAGTGTGAAGAACATGGGCAGAGCAGATATCCCATCAAGACCTGTTCCCCAGAATTCCCTGTCCAATTGGCCTTGAGTTGCTCCCAGGGCCTCTGATCCAAATCTGTGTTTCCAAGGGAAGACCACACCACTGGGGTCCCCATCCCTAGACCCAAAGGATGATCAGTAGGGTGGGTGTTTGTGGGAAGAATGGATGGAGTTTGGACAGGCAGTCTGGGGCATCCACTTGTGGACATGGGAGTCTCTTTGCAATGCAGGATAGATCTGGGGGCGGGAGGAAGAAGGCTGCAGGCAGTGAATGGGCCAGGAAGCCTTCCCACACCGCCATATTGTGGTGCCGATCTCTGAGGAGTCCAAGAATTCTAAATTCCAACCTGGTCTTCCAGATCATTATGGAGGAATAACTTATCCAGGTACAAGAAATAGGGCTAACCCTACCTGAGGATTAAACCGAGAGCTTCAAGTTCATTGTGCATCAAATATTGAGTTCCTACTGTGTGAGAAGACATTCACTCCTTGTGGAGTGTTCTAGTAGAGGACCAGGGTGCCTCTGAGCAGGCTAGATGGAAAACAAGCAAGGAATAAAAAATTCTCTATTGTGAGGCTGCAAGATGGCCTGGTCCTGGAGATGGATGGAGAGTGTGGGGCGTGGGGGACCCATCAAGGGTGGGTTTCCCAGGGAAGATGACATTTGAGCAGTAATCAGGAGAGGAGCCCATCATGCAAAGAGCTTTGCGCCATTTTAACATGTGATGTTTGTGTCTTCTCCATCTTTACAAATGTTGCCTTTAAAGATGTTGAGAGGACAGGAGTGAAGACAGGATCCCACTAGGCCCCCAACCCACTGACATTGGCCATTCAGTTGGTCCTCACTGGGCACAGCCACTCGATTATTTACCAAATCCAACTCATTAAATACTTTTCTCTTTTTCATCTTTGTGAGACTTTGTCAAAAGGAGTTACTGAAAGAAAATGAGCCATACCAAAAAAAAAGAAACAAAAACGAAAAAAAAACAAACCCGTTGCCGTCAAGTCGATTCCAACTCATAGTGACCCTATAGGGCAGAGTAGAACTGCACCCTAGGGTTTCCAAGGAACAGCTGGTGGATTTCAACTGCCAACCTTTCAGTTAGCAGCCAAGCTCTTAACCACTGCACCATCAGGGCTCCACTAAAAATGAGTCAAAGTGGGGGGAAAGTATGTAGATAATTATAAAATAATTTGACACAACTAAGTCTAAATATGTGATATCAATAAATGTAAATGGTCTTAACTCCCCTATCAAAGGGAAAAGATTTTCAGATTGGGTCACAAGGCAAAACGCAACTCTTTGCTGTATCCGAGAGACATACCTAAAATGAGGTGAGGGAGAAAGGTATACTAGGCAAATGTAAAGCAAATAAAGCAGCAGTCACAATCTTAATAGCAGACAAGATAGAAACGGGGCCACAAACTGTTAAACCGAACAGAGCACCATATAATGTTAATGGTACAATTCTCAAGCAAGATAAAATGGTCATAAATACCTAACTGTACCAAATAACAGCAATTGCTTTCATAAAGCAGAGATTAGGGGATTTCATTGTGTACATAAAGATAAGGCTATTGAAAAATAAGTTAGATCTTATGAATGCGAATATATACAGAACTCTGTATTCTGATAGTAGAGTGTACACCTTTTCCATTGCAACATTCATGAAAACGGATCGTATATTAAGTCACAAAGAAAACTATAAAAAAATTTTAAAAAGATAGTCAAAAGTATCCGATTACAATGTAGTAAACCTACAAATCAGTAACAAAAAGGCCCTATCACCTGGAAATTTAAAACGTAATAAAATTATCTGTCAAAGAGGATAGATAAACCAAAACGGCACAACTTATAAAAAATGATCATTAAAACACCTGTATATTTGGATGTATGAGATAAGGCCAAACTAGTGCTGAAGGAAGAAATGTATAGCTTTTAATTATATCAGTAAAAACAAAGGCCTGGTAACAAGATGGAAAAACTGGTCATTAACTTTATACGGGAAGGAAAGCGGCCCCAGACGAGTCGAGCGTTACTGAAGAACAAGGTCAAAGTAGGAGGCCTTGCGCTCCCTGACCGCAGAACCTACTATACAGCCAGGGTAGTCCAAATAGCCTGGTACTGGGACAACGACAGCCACATTGACCAATGGAACAGAACTGGGAACCTAGACGTAAATCCATCCACCTGTGGTCACCTGATCTTTGACAAAGGCCCAAAGTCCAATAAATGGAGGAAAAGGCAGTCTTTTTAACAAATGGTGCTGCCAAAACGGAATATCCTTAGGTAAAAAAAAGAAACAGGACATATACCTCACACCATAAACAAAAACTAATTCCAAATGGATCAAAGACCTAAATATAAAACAAAAAAATATAAATGTCATGGAAGAAAAAATAGGGTCAACCCTAGGGGCCCTAATATACGGCATAAATAGGATACAAACATGACTAACAACACACAAACCCCAGAAGATAAGCTAGATAACTGGGATCTTCTAAAAATAAACACATTTATGCTCATCAAAAGACTTCACCAAAAGAGTAAAAAAAGAACCTACAGAATGGAAAAAAAATTTTGGCTATGACATATCTGACGAAGGTCTAATTTCTAAAATCTTTAGGAAAATTCCACACCTCTACAACAAAAATACAAATAATCCAATTAAAAAATGGGCAAAGGATATGAACAGACATTTCACCAAAGAAGACATTCAGGTAGCTAACAGACACATGAGGAAATGCTCACGATCACTAGCCATTAGAGAAATGCAAATGGAAACTACAATGAGATACCATCTCACCCTGCCGTTACTGGCACGAATAAAAAATAATAAATGTTGGAGAGGCTGTGGGGAAATTGGAACTCTTATGCAGTGCTGGTGGGAATGCAAAATGGTACAACCATTTTGGAAAACAATATGGTGCTTCCTTAAAAAGTTAGAAATAGAAATAGCATACGATCAGCAATCCCACTCCTAGGAATATATCCTAGAGAAATAAGAGCTGTCACACGAATAGACATATGTACACCTATGTTCATTGCAACATTATTCACAATAGCAAAAAGATGTAAACGACCTAAGTGCCCATCAACAGATGAATGGATAAACTATGGTACATACACACAATGGAATACTATGAAACAATAAAGAACAATGATGAATTTGTGAAACATCTTACAACATAGATGAATCTGGAGGGCATTATGCTGAGTGAAACAAGTCAATCACAAAAGGACAAATACTGTATGAGACCACTATTATAAAAACTCATGAAAAGGTTTACACCCAGAAACAATCTTGGATGGTTATGAGGGAGGGGAGGGGTAAGGAGAGAAAAACACTAAACAATAGGTAAGTGGTAATTTGGTGAAGGGTAAGCTGGGGAAGTCAGGACAACTTGACCAAAGCAAAGTCATAGAAGCTTCACAGACACATCCAAACTCCTTGAGGGACTGAATTACTGGGCTGAGGGCTGGGGACCATGGTCTTGGGGAACACCTAGCCCATTTGACATAACCTAGTTT